ATGAGTGAACTGCGCCTCAACCACCATCCTCGCCATTGTTGGAGCACCTCGTGCATCGCATGAGGTGCGTGGCCAGCGCCTACACGTTGTCCTGCATCATTTTTTTATCCGACAGTGAGAGCCTAGAACAACAATATCCATCCATTGTTGCTACAGCAACTTCGCGTAGTGGGATTGCACTGTACTACGTAGAAGAAGCAGCTCGCAATACCTGAACCTCGCTGAGGACGTTGGTATCAAGTTGTTTAATTTACTGATTTTTAGACAACTCCTGCACTACGGTTGACCATTGCCTTCAGTCATGGCTGCATGTCAACGATGCAAACGCTACTGTCGCCCGCACAGATGGTGAGGTTCAGCAGGCACTACTGCCCCTTAATGGTGTGCTGCAAAGGCGAAAACATGTAAATAGGGGAAGAGATGTGGGAGATGGTGGAGTCGAACCTCCTCACCACTCCGCTTTATATCATTTCCAATTTCACTGACAGTTTACCATCACGTCCCGTTAGACGCTTCGCCCTCCCCGCCACCCCGTACCCCGTCATGTCGCGAGGCCTCAGTGGCAGCAACAGCTGACGAGGTAAGGCCGTCACCTACCTCATCAGGTGCAACCTCGCCAATTCCTGATAGCACAGCATTCACAACAGCAACGTGCAGAGGTGCAACACAATTACTGAATGAAACCTTCATCGTAAGGTGCTGCCTACGTTGTCTGCAACTGCACTGAAGCAAAATGCAATGCAAGATGATTTGTCTCCATTACACTTGAAGCGTCCCACCTGAATTGAGATAGGCAAAGCAAAGAAGAAGGGGACAAGTATTCCCAATCAAGTCAAAGCCAAAGTCGACACAAAGTTGGTGCTCACCACAGCTAATCCTCGCACAAACTCCAAAATAAGCACGTGCAAGTCTACTGCGTACAAGGCGTCCCACTTCGGCTTCTAGCTTTGCCTTGTGCAATTAAGGGTGACGCACAACAACTTTGACTGCTGAACTTGACTGACGCCCGTCCAGTCACTACAAATGAACGCAGCAATCTGAGCAGCTGCTTCCATCCACCTTCCACACCTCCGCTTTATTAGACGAGACAGGGTGTAGAGTGCCATGTAGCCAGTCTTTGGGAGGATGTTGAGTTACTCACGTCACCATCTGATGTAACGGGCAAGGCAACACGACAGACGACGTCTCCCAGTTAACGA